TAATATTTTAAGATTTAATACTGAAACGACGTCGTTTTAGGAATAAATGCAGATAACTTATCTGCAGTAATTGCAGAAACATTTTTCCCATATATTATATGTCAATTTAATATTTAAAATTTTAAATCCCACTATTTTTATTCCTCCATCCATTTGAACATAACAATGTTAAATTGAAATGTTGTTACCTCCTATTTAAAAAGTGGAATTATTTGCCCAACTTAGCTGTAAATTAAGGGTAACAATGATGTTCGTGTAAGGGACTATCAAATTTGGGACAAAATCCTTGTCTCTAAACTTAGTAAATATCGAAATACTCACTATTTATTTAACATGAAGTAAATCATTTTGTTTAATATTAAACCAATATTTTAGCCCATTAAAATTTAAATATATTTACACCTTTATTTGCTCATTTTAACAATAATGTCACTTTAATTTATTTTTTATCAAATTCATATATATTTTGAGCGAGTACACAGTTTACTGATTTTAGGATAATACTTTCAATAGTAGAAGAAATTGATAACTGTCCACCAAAAAGAAGAAGAAGAAGAAGGAGAAGAAATTGATAACTTCTTTGATTTCTTTAATTCCTTTTGGATATGACGCCATTATTATTTTAAAAAATCTCAAATTTAACATAATAATTACAAATATATATAATTTTACAAAATATAAGATCACAAAAGGCTCATCTAATATAATAGAATTACAACATCGATAAAAATGTTTTGAATTTGATAATTGCTAGTAGGTATTTATTAATTGGTCATTTGTAAATATCATTATAATTAAGTACTTGTCGTGACTTTAAAATGAGACAAAGAAACAAAATGATAACTGCAAAACAGGTCATTCGACCATTTTATCATGTCATTGCTTATTAAATACATGCTGTCACGATTCAAGTGAGCTGATTGACTGAAACAATTGCTGTGTGTATCATGCTGGTTGGTGTAACTACAAATCAGTTTCAAATATAATTACTGCAAATGGTACAGCACTTATCAGTTTGTCAAAATATTACATAACTTAATTTAATTTTTTTTTTTTTAAATTGTCTCTTGATTCTTTTAAAATTTAATATAGATTAATGTTAATTCTTTTTTGAAGAATAACGTAGATCTTTTTTAAATTTTAGAGAAATTATAAATTTGACTAACTAAATTTATTTTATATTTCAGAGAAATTACAATTTAAATTTTTTTTACTAAAAAATTAAAATAAGGTTTCTAATTTTTATTAATGACCCAAAAATTATTTTACTCAAGTTGTTATTATCTTATTACAGTTGGTCGTCCTTTGTTTTTTTGCATACACAAACTCTAATGTCACATCACATAAATGTGAGATGATTTGCTTAGTGTTAATACACATCAAGTATTTTTTTTTTTTTTTTCTGTTCTTAAATTTCAATGGGAATGGATTCTCTCATGTGGAAAAGTGGTCATATGGTCATGTTGTTTGATCACAATCATTTATTTAAAAATTAAATACACTTTTTTTCTTTTTTATCTCATCATCAATGAGTGATTGTGATCAAACAACATGACCACATAACCACTTTTTCACATGAAAAGATGTATTCCCAATTTCAATAATGGTCTATCTTGTTAATGGCCGAATGAGTGGTGAAGGCATATGCCACAAATCATTGAGACCATTAACAGTATCCAAGGTTTCGTATCCAATTAAAACCAAAGAAAATGATTTTCTTCAACAGACAAAAAAAAAAGGAAAAGGAGAAAAATGTGTCGTAGCTAACACAGTGGAGCACAAATGACTCCCCTAAGTCAAATTTCCACACAAATGACTTAAAACATATAAAGGGATGAAGACATAAAGTACTATTATCAAAAAATATAATCCAAATCTATTGAGTCAAAGCGATTAATGATACATTGATACTAGTTGAGCCAACCTTTATATAAAAAAATCATAATTTTATCACTCAAGCTTCTCTTATTTTTGCAAAAAATAAAAATAAAATAAAATAAAATCAATGAAAAAAAAGGTATTTTAAAACACCTAATTAGAGGATTCCAGTGGACGGTAATGTTGATGATAATAAAGCGGAGAAGATTGCGATGTTGAGTGGTTTCAAGTGGACCAGAAATTTGGGACGATATCCGGGACAAATGATGCAGCATGGAAGAGTCTCCAAAGCTCTTTTTAATGATATCGTTGATAAGGTCAAGTCGAAAATGCAAGGTTGGCAAGCCCAGTGTTTATCTATGGCAGGTAGGGTTACGTTGAGTAAAGCATCTATTTCAACAATTCCGCTTTTCAGAATGCAGAGTTCAAAGTTGCCTAAGTTCATCTGTCAAGAGGTAGAGAAAATGCAACGTCAGTTTATTTGGAAAGGATCAGATCAAAAAAGAGGTAACAATATGATTGGTTGGAATACTATAATCCAGCCGAAGGAAATGGGAGGCTTAGGATTGAAAAGCCTGGATGTTATGAATAATGCTTTTTTGGGTAAGCTTGCTTGGCATATAAAAACAAATCACGATGCTCTTTGGGTGCGGGTTTTAAAGGCAAAGTATAATGGTAGGAGAAATCAGATGGAACTCTTTACCAGTAAAATTGGAGATTGGCATCTTTGGAGAAGTATCTGCAAGGTGTGGTTGGAGTTAAAAGATCATGTAGTGTGGGAGATTGGTGATAGTGCTTTGATCAATTTCTGGACTGATCAATGGATTCCTAGTGTGGGAACCTTAGTAAATGTTTGCATGAAGGAGCTTAACGGCAATGAGCTGAATAGGAAAGCTAATGAAGTCATGGATACAAATGGTGGTTGGGATATTAACTTGCTTCAATCTTACCTGCCTCATAACATTTTACAGATGATCAAAGGGTTCCTTTCTCCTGTAGAAACTGATGGACCAGATGTTGAGAGATGGAGTACCGGGGGTCATGGCTCTATAATGGTTAAGGATGCTTATCAGGTCCTTATGCAGAAACAGTTTCCACTTGTAGATAATATTTTTTCAGAACAAGTGTGGAATGCCCTTTGGCGTTGGAAGGGTCCAGAAAGAGTGAAATTATTTATGTGGAAGTGCCTCCATCGGAGACTACCAACTCGAGCTTGGGCTGCTAAGTGGTCAAATGTGAATCCAACTTGCTTTAGATGTGAGAAAGCATATGAGACAGAAATGCATGTGTTGAGAGATTGTGCTATGGCTAAAAGAGTGTGGAATGAACTGCTAACAGGTACGAGACAAGCTGTTTTTTTATGAAATGAATTGGGTAGATTGGGTGTCTGTCAACATAAGTAATGATAGGAAGGGACCCATTAGCCTAAATTGGGGAACGATATTCCTATTAACCTGTTGGGAGCTATGGAATGATAGGAACGCTGTTTATCATGGAAAGGATGGTCGTAGTGAAAATCTTATCATGGGGAAGGTGCATCGTATGGCTATAGACATAGAACAAGCATTCGGTGATAATGGCAATAGGAAAAAGGTTGGCATGTTAGTTCAGTTGCAAATAGCATGGCAGCCACCTGATCAAGGCTGGATTAAACTAAATACAGATGGTGCAGCCAAAGGATCTCCAGGAGTAGCAGCTTGTAGGGGATTATGTAGAGGTTCAGATGATCAATGGCTGGGGGGTTTTGCTTCGCATGTGGGCATTGTATCAGCTTTTACGGCGGAATTATGGGGTATTCTGAAAGGATTGGAATTTGCTTGGAACAAAGGGTTTGGGAAACTTATAATTGAAAGTAACTCCACTTCGGTGATCACGTTGCTTACCAACAAAGGTAATGCTGTCCGAGAGTCGCATATTGTTACTCGTATTCGGACTTGGATGAACAAAGACTGGGAACTCAAGGCTCAACACATTCACCGTGAAAGAAATCAGTGTGCTGATTGGTTAGCCAACCATTTGATATGTCTTACTCAGACCGCTGTCTATAAGGAGTTTAGTCATGTTCCTCCTGGGCTTAGCTGTTTATTTTTTGCTGATGTTTGTGCTGTCACTAGCATTAGGAATATTCATTTTGTTTAGTTTGTTTCTGGGTTGTTAAGCCCTTCCTTTCACCAAAAAAAAAAATCTATGCGAGTTTCGATTCAAGATCTACTTTATTGAATGACATGCTCTCAACCAAGTAATTAACATCTATATTTTATATAAAATTAAAAGAAAATAAAAAATCATAAAACATAATATCGTAATGTAAAAAAATCATAAAAAATCGTAAAAATATAAAATTATTTAAAATATTAATGAAATTATTTTGATTAAAAATGCTGTCAACCAACAAGACACTCGGGAAACTGGCAGCACCAAGTGCTAAAACTATTGTATTTAAATTGTCAATAATTTGTTGCAAGAACGTTTCACACTCAGGCCCCTTACCCCTACATGAGGCCCAATATCGTTGTTATTATGGCCTGTGAAGGGAAGATTTTGTGTATCTAATTTTATGTTATGATTCTTCTACATGTTGAATAAGGGAAAATTACAGGCGTACATGTATATCTTCCCAATAATACAAATAATCAGGGCAAGGTCAAACAGGTTTATATGCACGCGTTTGCAACCTAGAAGATTATATCGTTGGATGTGTTTTAATTTTTTTAATTATAAATTTGAAGAAATATATCATAATCGGATAAGTTAGAAGAGATTAATATTTTTCATGTTATAGAAGATAATTTTATCTCTTATACATATAAAAATATGTGAAGCCTATTTAAGACCACGTGAAAAAAAAGAGAAAAAATAAATAAATCTCACGTACTTTTATACGTGCTTTATCTCCTATAATATACGAATACAATATAAAAAATACCAATCCCAAGTTAGAATGGAAGGATCTATTATAACTCTTTTAAAAACATATATTCTGTAAATAATTTAGCAGCAACAAGTGCAAAATTAATTTATATCTATAATACTTAAACTGATGGGGGAAACAAACAGTCAAACATATTCGTAATACCTGATAAGTTTCATACTGAGAATTTCAAATCTCAAACCAGTGAGACTTTATCAATTAATTACTTTATTAGGAATCTCATCTTACAAAAAAAAAAAAAGTAGTGGTAGACTGGTAGTGTTGATCTTCTGTTAGAGCAACATTAGCTTATTCCAGTAAAATGAACAATGTCCCTACCATTTCACAAAACGTAGTACCAGAATGTCATAAAAGCAGCAATGCCACTTAAAATACAAAGTGTATCCAACCTATTTTCGTTTCTCATCTTCTCTTCTTTTAACTCATTTTGCACTTTTGAGTACATATGACAAGACTCAAGTGCTTCACTATAGTTTTTGCTCCTTCGGCAGCTAAGTGCCTCCTTAAGAATAAGCAAACTGTTCCTTCCATTAACACGAGCACCTTCCATATCTTCCAACTGCATGCTGAGTTCTGTTAATTCAAGAGTTGTTTGAACCCCATCTTCTTCAGTCTGAACCACTCTAAACTTCATAATAAGGATGCACTGCACTACCTGAGAAGGAAGAATGTCCTTGGCAGTGAGAACAGATCCAAAGCGAATAACAAAATCCTTATCTGTTGGCCAATGTCTTTGACCATCAAGAGGGCTCCAGCTAGCAAGATTAGCACCTTGCTTTATCTTCCTGTTTACTATAATCCAACTAAGAAGAAGACCATCACGAAGCTCCTGCCATAGCTTACCATCTTTCCTTTCCCTTTCCATGGATGTAATTGGTGGAAGACCATCAGATACAGAAAGGGTAACCACACCATCATTGTTGTCATCATCTCTATCTTCATAACTGAGAAGATCAATCCTAAAAGGACAGTTGGAGAACCAACCATCATGGCCATTTGCATTTGGAATTCCCCATTGAACTTTGGAGCAGATTGGTTTCTCCTTAAACCTGATATCTACGATAGAAACAAAATCTGATGGAGAGATGCTTTCGAATTCATTCGTGTCCCCATAATATTCAGCCTCAGTCCAATCATCAGGGTACTCAAGATAGTTGTTCCATTGATACTCACCCACCTCTTTGTTTACAATAAGAGGAAAACAATCTGCATAGAATTTTCTGAATCCACCGATAGAAGATATTAAACTTTTGACATCCTCCCTATTGGTTGAAGGCCACACAGATGAACAAACATTTTCCCATAAACTCTCTTCTTTTGAGATGGAACAAAATGCTCCACAAGTACAAGCTGCACTAGCCAACGTAGGGCCATCGAGACGTCGTAATATGTCATAGAAGAGATCACTACTTAATGAGGCGATACTCTCAACTGGTGCAACTGACATAGCCATAATCCTATGACTGTCAAAGAACATAATTCAAATCAAAAAAGGAAACAGAAAATGCATTCATTTGAATATAATAAAATAAAATAAAATACATTAGTTATTTTCATACATTAATCAACAACGGGGCTTACAATGTTTGGGTAACATGGCAAATACAATTCTACAAAGACTAGTGCCTGCACAGTGCTCTTCTACCAAAATCTACAGCTACTCAATCCAAATTTCAATGATGACTACAAGAATTTATGCCTATAAAGCTATGCTTCCTTCATGAACACGTTTCAGAACTGCAGTATACTTAATTCCATTAAAATGACCATCCTATAAAATGCAAAATTTTAGAAGTATAGTAGCTACCAAAACCATTACTAACACCTACAAATACAAATATAACATAGGACTACTGAAATATCCACAGACAGAGTCCAACTCTGTAGCTGCTTAAGAAAATTCTCTAAAGATACTCTAATATTCCTAGAAACTAGAGATTTACCAATATTGGGAGTTTATAAGAAGGGTTTTATAAGAGTTATGTTGTAGGAAAAGTGATTGTGTAATGTTATAGAGATTCGTTTTGCGTGCCTTAATTTTTTATTTATTTTTTTGTTTTAAAAAGTGTGGGCCCCACAAAATGTTATGAGTGTAGGAAAGTTTGTTGTGTTATGTTAAAGGATAAAATTAAAACCCTTATAAGAAATATTTAATCAGGTACACATTTAATGATTTAAACCATTATAACCATACATCTATGTAATTTCCAATCCCTGTCTAAAATACATCATAATTCACAGGTAAAATGCCCCCTGCATAGGGAAGAAAGCTACGCAAGATACATGCTAACAAAAACTTATCATTTTGAAATAATTGATACATTAATTTTAATTTCAATGCAAAATATTGATGCTGACATATTGTAGGAGAGTAACTTAATCTTCTGAAGTTTCTTACGTTGCAATAAGAATTCATAAAATTTCTGTAATCTACAAAAAGCAGTTGCAAATTAGAAGGTTGAAAATCAAAATAAATGTGAGTTTTCTAAAAGCTAGGATTAGCAAAAGGAGTAATACATGATTTGACAAGAAGGATATGGTCGGTACTATAGAAAGAACCCAAAATATTGCTATTGCCAATTACATATCATGTAGATGCTCCAATACTGCATATTAGATGAAAGTAAACAAGAAGTGACAGATTTTGCAATTACAAAATAACATAAGATGAACTTGCTATCTAGGTGTCTATTATTGACCACTAAACCCTTGAATGTCTTTTAGAACTTGTTCTTATGCATCTAAGAAGTAATCTAAGTAATTCAGTGAAGATAATGCCAGGTCAGCATTGAACTAGTTCTTTAGAAACTAAATTGGCAATAACATAGGACCAACATGGTGCCTGGGATGTTCGATATTTGAAGCAATTCTTAAATGATGAGCTAATCTCTAAGGTGTTTTGCGTTCCTGTTGCTTTGGAAGATAATACTGAGGATAGGTTAGTTTGGTGTCAGAATCATGTGTCCTCTTCCTTAGTTAAGGTTGCCTACTTGAACTTGATGAATTTTCAACATGCTCAAAGGAATGATCCCTGGAAGAAGATTTGGGACTGGAAGGGTCCAGAAAGAATCAAGACTATGATGTGGCTGGCTTTTCTTAATAAGCTTCCAGTTAGGAGTCGTACATGCAAATGGAATGGGGGTCCTAATTTTTGCATTAACTGTCCAAACAGTGAAGAAACTCTTATTCATGTCCTTAGAGATTGTTCTCAAGCCAAAAGATTGTGGATAGATTGGTTTGGTAGAAGGGTCCCCAACGATTTCTTCACATTAGACCTACAGCCTTGGCTCATCAAAAATGTGAGTAAGGGTTGGAATTATCAAATTCATGTTGATTGGAGAGATGTTTTCTATACTACTTGCTGGAATATTTGGAATTGGCGTAATCATCATATTCATGATGATAGTTTTCAGAGGCCAAGCAATGATAAGCGTGTCATTTCTGATTTTATTGCGCATTTAATTGAAGCTAGAGGTAAGAATAGAAGCATTCTTGGCAGCTTCCCTAATGCCCATCAGCCTACTAAATGGTGTCGTCCTGAACCTGGTCGGTTGAAGATTAACATAGATGGTGCTTCTTCCCTATCTAGGCAGCATGCTAGTTGTGGAGGCCTTGCTAGAGATCACAATGGTGCTTTTCTGGGTGGTTTCTCTTTCAGATTAGGTTTCTGTAATCCTCTTGATGCAGAACTCTGGGGTATCCTCAAAGGTTTAGAGCTGGCCTGGGGTACTGGTGCTAGGAGAGTGGAGTTGGAATGTGACTCAGAAATTGCTCTTAGCACTATCCAAGAAGGGAGCAACAATCACAGAAACTCTCAGGTTGTTTCCCGTATTCACAAATGGCTTGCTGAAGATTGGGATGTTCGTTGGGTCCACACCTTTCGAGAAAATAACAGATGTGCTCACTGGTTTGCTTCTAGGCATTTTGAGGATGATAATAATCTTATTGTTTATCATTCTCCTCCTTCTCCTTTGTTAGAGCTCCTTCTTCAGGATGCTTCTGTAGATCTTTTAAGTTCTCGCGTCGTGTAATTTTTGTTTTGTTTGGGGCTTTTGCCCCTCTTTATTACAAAAAAAAAAAAAAAAAAAAAATTGGCAATAACATAGGACCAACAGTACCCAAAACTTTTGAAAAACACTTTTATCCTGCTAAGAATGAGTGACTATAACAACTAATCCAGTACCGAACACTCAAGGTAAGCTACTTAGAAACACTCACAAGCACTCTTTGGAAAAGATGCTTCATCATGCCTGTATACTAGAAAATAGAAACAACATATGCAGCATGGTAGACAACAAGACGAAACTTCCATAACTATCATCTATGAATCTAGATATCCTTAATAGACTCTTGGTGATAAGTGTTCCAATAATTAGAGATGTTCAATTCACATCTCAACAGCAAGATCAGCATGCAGTTGTGGCAATTCCATGTGCATGAATATTGCATTGAAAATTACAGGTCTTTACTCAACCTTGTAAGGAGGGTATCAGGTAATAAGATTTCCAAGGAGAACCCATATATTGTACTCAACCTTGTACGTCCTGTGCACATTCAATCAAGAACTCCAAGGAGAAGAAGGAGGCCTATGGCCTGTTTGAAAACTCAACACCACTGAAAATGATTTAATTGTTTTTGTTTGAAACATGTCAAAAATGAAATTAAGTGAAAAGTATTGTAAACATCCAATAAGTCAGATGTTTACAATGAAATTAGTGTAAATGAAAGTAGTTTCCTCTAATAGTTTTATTTATTGTATTAAATACTAATAGTTTCCCACAATTTCAGCACTTAAAATGAAAGACAATTCAGAACTGATTTTAACTACTGAATTTTTCAACTGGTTCAAACACAAACACTCTTAGTCAAAAACTCCAATCCTAGTATTCAACAGATGCCACTGATAAAAGTATCAAGTTTTAAACCAAATAAATAAATAAATAAATAAGGGGGGGAAAAGAAGTGATCAAGTTAGCATATGTGTGGGTTAAAATTCATAATTCAACATATATTAAGTTTATAAAGTAAATATTAAATAAATAATTTGCAAGTTGCAACCCTTTATAAGATTGCAGCAGAACGTCCTTTTACTGCAACACCACAAATTGATCAAAAGCGGTAAACCAGACTGCCTTCTATCAAACATAAAACAAAAAACAATAAAAAAAAAAAAAAAAAAAAACTTGAGAAATGCCACTCACATATGTGAAATGAACAGAAATATTGTCAAATTCAGCATATCAAAATTATGAGGAGAGAAAGAGGGTTGTAAGTTGTCACCTTAAGTACCAGACATGTTTAGTGATCAACAAGAAGAGAAAGCTGCCTCAAACAGAAGAAGCAAAAGAGGAACAAACAAGGTAGAGGAAGTGGAAGGAAAAAAAAACTGATTTTGAAGCAAACCCAGATGAAAGGACGAAAATTTCAGTTGACCAATATTGTAAAAAGATCAGTTCAAGGGTCACAATCCATTTTACTTTGGGAAGAAAGGTGTTACTGTTCGGGTACCACTGTGCTTGTCTCGTTCTCGTTCTTGTTTGTCAACCTTCACAAGACACGAACAAGATATGGTCAGCGAGGTATTATTCGACTCTGAGATAAACGACGTGCAATGCCGTTTCCATTCACCACACAAATTTAGAAGAAAAAATAATCTTGAGGAGACACAAGTTTTGAAATGATTCATTTTAGATATGCACGGAACCAACAGAAAGAGACAAACAATCTTATATTAATAAATTTGAATCTTTTAAGTGGGGTTTATCAAATTATGATTTGGTGTTCTTATCTTATTAATTAAGGAACAAAATTTTCATTTGTTTTTTGAATAATTTTTGCTTTAATAATTTCTTTTTTTTTTACAACATTTATGTATCACTTCGATGCTTTAAACGTATTAGTTTTGCAAAAGGCACATAAATGTATTAGTTTTATAAAAAGAAATAACTCTATGTATAATAAGTGATATATGAAACAAATGTCTCTCACTAACTCCAAAAGAAACAAGGTAACAAAATATTAAAATGGAAATATTAAAAAGCGTTTCCATTTTTGCTGCCATCAAGTAATCAATGACCATCCGTTTTCAAATTTTGTATGGTAAATAATGAGAGAAATTATAGTAGATAAAAGATAAAAATAAAATAAAACATATGAATTTTTCTCTACTCAATTAAGAGACTAAAGAAATTAAAATTGTGAATGATGGTAAAGTTTATTATTAGACGAATCATAATGAAGGTTGAGTTTGAATGTTGAGATTTACCAAAAATTACATCCGGTTCTTGAAGAATTTTTAGATTATAAAACTATTAACAACTGTTTTACATTTTAAATTAGACAAACGAATAATAATATTTTCTCTAAGATTTTCCACTTTCTTATGTTATTATTATTTTCTCTCGAATATATATATAACATAAAACAAATATTATATTAAAATAATTAAAAACGTATTAGTAATTATATTATAATTAAAATAATAACTAAAATCCAAACTTCATAATAAAAAATACTTATTGTATATCATTTTTCTCATACATTACTTCACACTAATATGAAATGAAGAAAACAAAATAAAAATATGTAAGTTTTTGATAAAATTGATTATAGTTAGGGGTGTTAATGGACCGAGCCGAGCCGAGCTTTGGTCTTAAAAGGTTAAGTCTGTGTTTAAATGTGACAGCCTGTCCAAGCCTGTTACCTGTTATGAATATAATTTCAGCCTGTGGCCTGTCTTATTTGCAAAAAATAAAAGTCTGGTTTAGCCTGATAGCCTCTTTAAAAAAAATAAGACAACAAAAATTTATCCAAACAAAATATACAATCAACAACACTACTAATTCCATAAATATTCATAAATTTAATGTATATCCAAACAGCATAATATAAAACAAAATTATTCAAAAAGTCTGTTTAACTAATAAAATGGGATGAAATGGATTGAGAAGAGAGAGAGTTATCACAAGTAGTATAAAAAATATAAAATAAAAATAAAATTAATATATTAGGCCAGCCTGGGAGGCTCTAAGGCCGAGCTTTTGAATTGGAGCCTGAGGCCTTTTTATTAAACGAGCTTTTATACAAGTTCAAGCCTGGTTCCAACAATCAATTTTAGATATGTAAGCTCATACCTTCACGAGCCGAGTCAAAGGCCTCTGTAAAATCTCTGGCTCGTTTAACACTCCTAATTATAGTTATATAATAGAAATAATGTGTATATAAATAGGAAATATGTGTAGATAATTTTTTTCAATTTTATAAGACTCGCTGGAGCAGATAAATCCTAAATAAATGCAAAAGGTGACAGCTTCAAGGCAACAATTGAATACGGAAGGAGTGAAGGACAAGTGCTCGTGAGTTGTTAATGACTGTACTTGTTATCATATTTATTATGACCAACCAAACACCCCCTCGCTTGAAATTTTTTTAAATATACTATTATTTATATATAAAAAAATTATCATATGATTTCACTCTGTTATCATCATTATTTTTGTTTTTTTTTCTCTATCTTTATTCATTAATGTCATGTGTATAATTTCTTGTATGTATAATTAAGAGCAGGCACAGTTCAGTGCACACACGGGATTCAATAAGTACAACGTCATTTCAACAATAAGACAATAGCAGAACCTAACCATGTTCAAGACATAATAAAGCTTTTTATTTTTTTTCTTAAGAGTTAGTTTGGGGGAGATTGACGATCATGACATGTTTGTGACTAAAAAATATTGGTACGTCACTTTTTAATCAAATTTTGTCAAAATATCATATCACACTCTCGTTACGCTATTTAGCGAGAATGGACTAGACACGTGACAGCGTCTGCATGGGCAATTATTCTCACTGAGCAGTCCAACGAGAATGGTAGGGTACTGACATGTGACAAAAGTGCAGGCATTCTCGTGGGTAGCCCAGCGAGATTAGCCACTGAATAGTTTTTGCATAGAATTCCTGTATTTTTGTCACGTGTCAGTACCTTGCCATTTTCGCTGAGCTGCTTAGCGAGAATGGCTACTCATGCAGACTGCCACGTGTACATTCTTGTTGGGTGGCGTAGCGAGAATGTGACGTAGCATTTTGACAAAATTTAAATGAAACGTGATAGATAAATACTATTCATAAAAGTGGCATATTGGTCAATGTCCCGTTAGTTTGGTGTTCTCTTGTAAATTTTAATAATAATGAATATGGCGATGGTGGTCTTTAAATAAATAATAATAAGCCATTAGCCTTTTATATGATGTACCCTATTCGAATTGAACTAATTAAATAATTAATGAACCAATGGATAATATTCAAAAAAAAAAATCAGATTTACTTTTTATACAATAGGAGCATTAAGATTTGAATATATGACTTAATGCAAATTACCAAAATCCCTTATCACTTGACCAATCATAAATTTATTTTTACTATTAATTTTAATGGATACCAAACTGATAAGAAATTTATACTGATAATAAATAAATTTCTTATTTAATGTGAATTATGATAAATATGATTATTTATATATTCATCTCTACTATTTTAATTCTCTAAATAATTTGTATAATTATAAGAATTATTTTGAGAATTAAAATATTACATGTGTATATATAAATAGGTATTAATATTTCTCATATTATAAGAGATAAATTTTATCTCTTATACGCACATAAAAGTGTGTGGGGCGCATGTGGCACCATGTGAAGAGAAGATATAGAAAGAGAACATATGGGCCTTGCACACTTTTATGTGTGTGTAGGAGATAAATTACCCATTAATCAATATAAATATATAAAGGGAAGGTATAAAGAAACTAATATTTTTTCAATTACTAAACTTATTCTTAATTACTGTAGTTTATTAAAAATAAACAAATAGAGAAAAAATTTACTTGTCTTTTAGTTTAGCTTTATAAAAAAAATAGCTTAATTAGAAAAGTAGTTTTTGTTATAATTATCTTATTGTGAATCAATCAATTTATTTGTTATTCTAATAAAAATGGATTAACTCATTATTTATATGAGAGTGCATTATAAATACCTACTTATTAATTGGTATGATTTTACCGGGACTCGTATTGGGGTGACTCTCCTAATACCATTCTCTTCATTCCCAAAAGTTAAATAAGAGACCTTTAATTAAGAGAAACAAGGTTATTGCAATATTGCCAATTGAACCAATAGTTGTTGGTTAAGTGATTCTTTTAGTTTGGATATTATGATAGTAATTAGTGTAAATAACAATATACGCCTTAATCTTTCATATTGATTACCTTAAATCCATGATGGGAAGGTACAATGATTGATTTAATTGATTAAATCCTCCTTAACATATAATACCTGACCAGTGTTGATATTAACCCATAAGCTTATGATGGAAAGGTGCCAGCTAATTGATTAAACTCCCTTTTCATTAGAAAAGATACATGTAATTACTTCAAAGGTACGATGATTGGTTTAGTTGATTAAATCCCACTGAACATATAATACCTTACCAGTGTTGATATTAACCCATAATCTTATGATGGAAAGGTGCCAACTAATTCATTAAACCCCTTTTTCATCAGAAAAGATACAAGGAATTACTTCACAGGCTGTCTGATCCAAAGTGACGAATAGAATGCGTGAAATAGAACAAATACCCTAGTCTTTTACGAACAGTGTGTGAACGAGAACAAAAACCCAACTCTTTTTAAGCTTTTCAAGATTTTGATATCAAGTGTGGTAGATTCTTAAAATCTAAAATCATATCTTCCACAAATAATTTTAAAATGGTATTCGAATTTCATATAATCCCATACTTTTACTTGCAAATCTACTTCAACTCATTTAATTATAACAAGTTTAAAAGATTTGATACCAACTCAACAAAGCCAGAGTATAAATTCAATGTACTCTAGATATATTCTGTGTTTTAACTTACTGCTACTAAATAATATAGCATGGCCAAATGGCCTTTTGACGCTCGTCTTCATCGTTACAATTTAGAATGAACTGCCTTGAGAAACTACATTTTCAAAGAAATAAAACTTCATTTTGACACTCGTCATCTTATGTCACTTATGTTGGACGTAAAAATAAGAATTCAAAAGAAAAGGACGGGTTTCAGAACAAAATTAAAAGAAAACAAAGGGATATAGATTAATGTAGCTGAATAATGGTTGGATCAAGAACTCTAGTTCATATTGTAATCAACTGAATATTGCATCTATGTTGCAGACTTCGCTAAAAAGCTCAAGAGATCAAATCTCAAAGAAAATGGTGGTGTTAAAGCTCAAGAGTCAGTCCATTAGCATAAGTAATAAGAGTCTTAACACACATAACCACCACCTACCATACGAACAAGGGCAATCATCAGTAATTCCGATTAACTTGTTCACCTTATCCCAAAAGCTACAAGTATATGCAGTTTTTCCGCTAAGAGGCATTGGGAATCTTTTTGGAGTCAACAAAGTGTCGCAAACCCTGCCCTAATCAATTCTAGAATATCAGCAAGGAATTTTACAGAACTTAAAATCACTTGTATAAGAAAATAGCAACATCGACCAAATCAACATAACCAATCAACAAGAACACTCCTTTGATGTCCATAAAACAGCACAGAAATTCTCCCTACCAAACCACATGGCAAAAAATTTGAGAATATGCAACTCAACGGCCACGGCCCCGACCACGTCCACGCCCTCGGCCACGTCCACGCCCCAAAGGCTTCCCTGGAAATAAAATTAAGACTTTGAAAACCAAAAATAACCAAATAACAGCCAATTTGAAAATAAAGTCCCCAGATGAATATTATTGCAGTCACGGTCAAATAATGTACAATACCAGCAGTTGGCTTCTTAGGCTTGACCCTAGGTGTCTCTTCAACCAGCAAGGTCTCAAGATTCAAGCTGTCAGGAAGGATATAATAACGAATGTTGTTACCTCTCACACTGAGATGATCCAGAGTAACTGGGTTTTTCCCTTTCAGGGTTAGTTTAACTGTTTTCAAATGTGTATTCATACTGATATCAACACCTGTAGCATAGCAACAAGTTTAAGGATCAGTATAACTAAAGCTTCAAAATATCTGATCCCATCCCAAAAATAAAAATGACTTTGAGACACTTAAGTAGCAAGCTTTTTATTTAAACACAAGGCAAACATTATCTGCAAATATGTATTTAGTATTTACTACTTACTGACAAGGAAGTTCCATGATGCTTAACTTGTATTATATTTGGATAATTAGGAAGTAGCAAGACATGTCAAAATATGATACAAGGATTACTACCCTCATGAGCCTACATAAAAAGAATGTTAAGTATGTCGCTACACCTGAGCCTCAGACATCACAACATTTAATACAAGCAAAGATAACAGATGCAATATATAACTTGTGAGTTTTCTATTTATATGACAAAGTGAAGCTAAATCCAGATGACTGTTGACGCATAGTTATCAAATGCGGATTGCGGCATGTCGCGGCCAACCCCGAAAAACGCTATAGCGTTATAGTGGGTTGCGGTTGCGGAAATAGAGGAATAGATACATGACAGAAATAATGACAAAAATAAACATTTTTTAGAGAAAGAGATAGCAGAAGTGACAGAGACAGACGCGGATAGACTAAAAAACCCTTAAATTTTATCAGTTACACATTTAAATTTAGGACAAAATTGACATTTTGCCTTATGACAGCAATATGGCCCAAATGTGATCGCAATGGCCGCAAAAGTGATCGCAATGGCCGCTATTGCGTTCCGGTGTGGCGTGGCGCGGTTTCTTGCGGCGAGGCACCGCAACGCCCATACAACGCGGCTTGCGGCGCAATTGACTACTATGTGTTGAAGAGGAAGTTCCAGAGTGTAGGCGGTATGAGGATTAATCAGAAACAACACGTACAAGAATCTGTGTTTCTGAAAAGATTGGCACAGGTTAGGTAAGATGTATAGGCAGATATGGAGGCTTTTTGACCATTGTCCCCTTAATTACATAAAAAAATACCACTGTGCCCCCGGTCCAAATTATCAATACATTTCACCTATCTGCCCCTGTTTGACCATTGACGGCGCAATATACTCAAGTACATGACCCATATACTCGAGTATATTACGTGGAACAGCAAATACTCGAGTACAATACCTTTATACTCGAGTATTTTTCATCATCTGGATTTTTTTGAACTTTTGCTCTATTATAGGACCCAAATACTCGAGTATTTGCTATTCCACGAATCCACGCAATATACTCGAGTATATGGGTCATCTACTTGAGTAAATGAGGCCAAATTTCCTACGAGAATTTTCCAACACATAGCTCTCGAAAAATTACAAGGAATAAAAAAAAAACCCGATTCGGACACCCGAGTCAAAAGTTACAACTTTTCGAAGTTTTACTCTAAAATTTCCAAAATTTTGTAATGTCAATAGGTTTTGTGATACCTACAAAGCTCCTCCTCAGGTTATCAGAGTCAAGTCCAATATTATGAGTATATGACTAGAGAAACATGCTTGATCCAAAAAATCTTGTGGAAAAAAATTTAACTGTAAAACTTCGGAAGACCATATTTTTTGGATCAAACAAGTTTTGTGGGTATCACAAAACCTATTGACATTACAAAATTTTGGAAATTTTAGAGTAAAACATCAGAAGGCCATAACTTTTGACTCAAGCGTCCGAATCAGGTGCTTTTTTGTGCCAAAAAATTTCCTGTTTGGAGATTTGGTCCAAAAAAATGCTTCTTTGTGCCCCGTTTGGCATATTTTATCTATGCAAAATGATGTTATTTAAATTTTTACTTTCAAACACTAACAAATAATCTTCCGGGAATTTTCTAACATGTAGCTCTCGAAAAATTATGTGGAATAAAAAAAAGTACTTGATTCGAACACCCGAGTCAAAAATTGTCTTCCGAAGTTTTACGGTTAAATTTTTTTTTCACGAGATTTTTTTAGACTAAACAAGTTTCTAGTCATATACTCATAATATTGGGCTTGACTCGAGTAACTTGAGGAGGAGCTTTGTGGATATCACAAAACCTATTGGTATTACAAAATTTTGGAAATTTTAGAGTAAAACTTCGGAAGGTTATAACTTTTGACTCGAGTGTCCGAAGCAGGTGCTTTTTATTTATTTCACGTAACTTTTCGAGAGCTACGCGTTGGAAAATTCCCATACGAAATTTGATCTCATTTACTTGAGTAAATGAGCCATATACTTGAGTATATTGCATGGGACAACAAATACTTGTGTATCTGGGTCCTATACTCGAGTATAAACTCATGACATTTGATTTACTCGAGTATGAAGGCCAGTCAACGGTCAAACAAGGGCAGATTGGTGTTAAGTTTAGGGAAAAGGTCATATTTTTGAAATAATTTAAAACTGGGGGCAAAGTGGTATTTTTCTATGTAATTAAGGGCACAATGGTCAAAAAGCCCAGATATGGAAGTCTACCTGTACTGCAAAGAATAGGCTTCCAAATGATGGAGATGCAGTGAAGGGATTCTAAAATATAAGAGCCTTAAGCAGACTCATTCAATCCAAAGGCTCGATCCCTATGACATAAATGCAATACATTTGCCACCCAAGCAAGCAATTCAAAGTTCCAACTCCATGGTTTACGATGTCTCTTGCCAAAATGTCATTGGTAACAAACATCTTCCTGCTGTTCCAAATCTAAAGTTCAAATGGTAATGGTTACTATTTTACATCAAACATTATTTTTATTATTTTCTTTATAGAAAAAGAATATATTAAAAAGAAAACAAGGACAGTACAACTGAGGGAGTGTAAAACATCGCCTAAAACAGAACATAAGGTAAAACTACAAATATAGACCAAAGAGAAACCGGAAAAAAAAAAAAATCAAGAGCAACAAAGCTGCACAATCCCTTTGCGTATCAGAAATAGCAACTCCCTAGAAAAGACTTGAGCAGAATATCAAAGAGAAACCATAAATACAATCCCATCTTAAGGCAAGTTTAGGTGTAAAGCAATGTTGTTAAAACGTAGAGTCTTTTTACAAAAAAAAAAAAAAACGTAGAGTCTGTAAAAACGGTAGGGGTGAGCAAAAACATGAAATCGCAAAACGTAAACGAAACGTAAGAGTTTACTAACGTATTAAAAATAAAATATATATCCAACATATATAAAACCAAAACCCACAAACATGTTTATTTTGACAGAATGTCAATTTTAATCTTTCTTTTAATTTATATAGAATGATTTTAATGTATTAATTATACAAGTTATTAAATTTAAGCTAATTAATGACTAAAAATATATATAAATTTTTTTATTATTAAATGCTTTATATATATATATATATATATATATATATATTTGAACTATGCAAAAAAAAATCATATTATATATATTTTTATATTATTCATGGATTTATTAATTACTTAAAGCATTGATTATAATAATATACAAGCATTAGTGTGGCGGTGAGTCTCTTCTTCTTTGTTCCCTTTTATTAACACTGACGTTGCTCTCTCTCTCTCCCCCCCCCCCCCCTCTCCCCTCCCTTCTTAACGGTGGATATAGTTTAAATGCTTTGCATCAAGAGCTATTTAGTGCCAAAACTAGAGCGAGAGTAGAAGAGAAAAGAAAGCATAGAAACAAGTAAGAAGAAATGTCATCAGTTTTTCTTTCTGCAACTGCAACTTGAACTGCTCTTCTTCGTTTGTGTTTTGGTTTGGGTTTGAGTAACAACCAACAATGGTGAAGGTGTTGGCGATGAAGTTCTTCTTCTCCTTCATCATCGTCTTTGCTTCTCTTTCTCCCCTCTTCGTCAGATCTAACTCTTTTTTTTAAACAAAAAAAAAAAAAAAAAAAAAACTGAGTCAACTCGATAAACTCGCCGAGTCAACCGAGTTTACCGAGTTGACATGGCATTTCAACCGTTTAGACTCAAAACCCATTTCAACTACCGTTTTGACTCGATTTTGGTCATAAAAACGTAGACACAGTCCGTTTCTACGTTTTTACAACACTGGTGTAAAGAAATAGGTATACTTCAAAAATTATTAATCTAAAAAAGAAGCTACCTAGGGACTACTAGAGAATTTCATGTTGAACAATTGGCAATTTCTAACAAAAAAGCAAAAAACAGCAGCCAACCCTGTAAAACCAAACATCAAGATATGTCCCCATTGAAAAAATAATTCCAAATCAAATTTAGTTATCTTGTAAGTTGTATTCGTTACATGACCAGAAGGGGTACAAACAGGAATCACTAAGATAAGCAATAAGATATCAAACAGAGAAATCTTGATTGCAGCAGAAAACATGTTAAAAAGTAAAATATGAAGTTAAAAATGGATCTTATTTCTCAGAACCTCAACAAACAGTTTGCAGGTGATACGTAATCAAATTCAAGTAAGCAACCTCTTCCCAACATAAATAATTAAGATTTTAAAATTCCAGAAGCGTGTAGTGATTCTGGAAAAAAAAAAAAAACTGTATTTACCATATGTGAAATCACTGAGCATCTTCGCAATATGCGAATCATTACATTCATGACTCTTGACTATTGGAAATAAAAAAGCCAACATTTGGAACATTATATCCTGCTTAAAGGCTCTAATGCGAAATGTAGGCATTAATTAATGATAAAAGCTTAAGCACGAAGGAGAGAGCTAGGGTTTAACGATGTGAAGAGTGTATATATTTTTTAAAAATAGTGGAGTGGAAGAAGGAAAAAAAACCTGTAACCGTGCCATGAACAATGGTACCATTCTTGAGCTCGATCGATACGGTTTCGTTGTTCAACTTCATCAGAAACCTGCTCCGGTTTTCATAGAAAGGCTTTCAACTTCAGATTTTTTTAAAAAAAATAAAAAAATGGGAAAATAAAAGAAAGAGGGAATGAGAAATTGAGAGAGAGGCGGAAGAGAGACCTGACGAGCTTCATGGTGGCGGAAAATGGAAGAAGAGAAGGAAAATATCAGCACAGCCGCCTCAACCACGGAGGAGCGGGACAAACACACTTTTTTAGTGGTTTTGTGCTCTGATTTAACGACAGCGTTTTGGAATTGCTCCTGTGCACCTTATGATCGCAGGAAAGTGAAAGTCCAAAAATGAAAGTGAAAGATATATTTTTACCCTCAAATAAAGTATTTTTTATGAATAAAAGTGATTTTCAAATTAAAAAAATTTAAAAATATTAGTAAGAAAAAATTCCAAGCGCAATCCAAATCAGGGACAAAGATCATATTGCCACTTTTTAGGCAAAATTTTACCTGATTGCCACTTCTGAAAAAAAAATTGCCAAAATGCTACGCCTGAATCCCGCTGGTCTGACAAGCGGGAATGGACTGGACACGTGTCAGCGTCTGAATGGTCAACCATTCTCGCTGGGCCGCCCAGCTAGAATGACAGAATGCTGACACGTGGCAAAAGTACAGACATGCAGAGAATGCCTGTGCTTTTGCCACGTGTCAGCATTCTGTCATTCTAGCTGGGCGGCCAGCGAGAATGGTTGACCATTCAGACGCTGACACGTGTCCAGTCCATTCCCGCTTGTCAGACCAGCGGGATTCAGGCGTAGCATTTTGGCAAAAAAAATTTCAGAAGTGGCAATCAGGTAAATTTTTATGAAAGAAGTGGCAATATGGTCAATGTCCCATCCAAATCATTTATTGATGTTGACATGTCCTTTTATGTCACAACATGAAATTATTTATTTATTCATCTTAAAAATATATGAAGTAATATTAATTATTTTACAAATTTAAAAATTATCATTCAATACTTTTTATTTTCTTAATTTACACTCTAAATGTTAACAAAACTTTGACAAACAATAATGGTTAATATAAAATGAAAACACATTATCAGCATTCAGTAGCATTAACTTTACCAAGTGAAGTTACTACTAAAGTTTACTAATTAAAAAATAACAAAATAATAATATTTAAGCATGTTAATATTAACATGACAACTGCAATGTATAATAAATTAGAGTGATTAGTTGCACGTAAAATCAGCGATTAAATTTGAATGTAACATTATTGTCAAATTTTAAATTTGACACCTCATCCGAGAGTCATTAGTGATGAATCAAAGTGATGATGTGGATACAACGTATACTTGATGTTTCCACGACAACATGATTTTGATGATAACAAAGAGGAGTGATTCAAAGACGAAGCAATATCCAAAAAACAAATATGAAAGCATGCACCAACTCTCAAGCATCAATCCAAGTCCAGAATCTCAAATGGTATACTCATTTAGGACTTAGGATAAATATGTAAAGATGTATAGATACAAAGCATTGCATGAGCTCAAGGTCATTCATCAATCATATATTTCAAAAGCATGCATCCTTAAAAGAAAAGTCAAGACAAATGGTTTCATATGTACAATATTGGTTTGGAAGAAGTACCTATGTGATACAAACTTTTCTAAATAATTTTCATAACCAATAACATGCATTACACGTCATAAAAATCATTTGGAAAGAGTAGAAACTCAGAACTCGTACAAAAAAAGGCTGCTGCTATGAAATATCCGGATATTCCACTTTGAATATCCGGATATCCAATATCCGGATATGGAATCCAGAATATCCGGATATCCAATATCCGGATATGTGCCCGATAAATATCCGGATATGTACGGATTACAACGGCTATAAACGGCTAGTTTTCATAGGAGGTGTCATTATAAATACCCACATCAGTTGGGATGAACAGTTCACGACCCTATAGCATTTATTAAAGCTTTATTACTCTTACTAGCCTTTTATTGCTCATAAATTACTTACTTTAATCATTGCATACACTTGAGCTCATCTTTCCTTTGAAGTTATACATCTCTTAGTTCTTCAATTTGTTCAATCTGTACTTTGAGAGTACTTAGCCACTTCTAATCACCTCAATATTACTTCTTGATTTGAGAGGGGAGTGAACCCTATATTTGAGAGGTTACCAAATTCCTAAGAAAATTTGGAGTGAAAAAGTGTAAGGCATCAAGAGCCCGAAGTCTTGAAAAGTTGTAGTGGTTTGTCAAGCACCCTCAAGCTTGATAGTTAGTGAAAAGAATTGATCGAGCGGCTTCAGTCTGGACATAGGTCACGGTGGTGGTGACCGAACCAGGATACATCTAGTTTGCAATTTCTCTAACCTTAATCTCTTTATTTAAGTATTAAAATTGCATCTTAGATTGTCTTTATATATTCGCTTGCTCATTTTGTTGATCATTACACTTGCTTTTACAATTAGACATTTCCTTATTAAATCACTTTATTGAAGAAATAGTCTTTAAAACATCAAATGAGGTACTTTGCGAAAAGATTTTTGTAAAACTCAATTCACCCCCCCTCTTGAGTATTGAAGCCACCTGTCCAACAATTAGATAAAAAAAGATCAATGGCTCTGATTTATAAGCATGTGACACCATTGATCTTTTTTGATCTAATGGCTCTCAGATGAGGTATCAAATTTGAAATTTGACACCGGTGTCAAAGGATATATATATATATATATATATATATATATATATATATATATATATATATGGACAAGTTATTCTGCCTACTCTCATTCTGCCTACCTTTGTCTACCTCTTTGATTACCGTTCAATTACAATTTAATTCAACGGTCCATATTTGCCCAATAAAATAAACCATTTTTCCCCTTTCTTTCTCCTCACTTCCTCCCACACTCTTTCTCTCTCCTCCTCTTTCTCTCTCCCTCGGCGCCATACCTGTTATATATATATATATATATATATATATATATATATATATATATATATATATATATATATATGGGATTTACATTTCTAGGGTTGTTGTACGTGCAGCAATTAAATACTTGCATATATATACGTGAAAGCATTAAATGCAGGGAATCATAATCATACAAAAGATGAAAGCATTAAATGTGGAGAATCATAACCATACACATGTCAATGTTGTACGTATAGCGACTGCAAAAATGATTTTACAATGAGTACAAAATTTGGAATCTCGTCCTCTACCTCTACCTCCTTCGTAGCTAAAATGTCCTCTGCCTCTTTCTGACGCATAATTTCTTCTATTATCATCAGATTCACTGATAAAGGCCTTTGGTATATCACCAACAGAAAGATTCGAGTAAAATTCACACTCTTGTTGAGCTAACATCGAACACACCTTATTGACATCAGGAAGAGGGTTTATAAGCATGATTTGCTATTGAACTGGAGCATATTGCTCATTCAGCCCTTTCAAGAACCTGATCGTATGGTCCTGGTCTCTTCTAACTCAAATTTCAAGTAGAGCTGGGCAATTACATGCCATAGCACATTGACAAGTAGGCAATGGCCTTAAATTTTCCAGATCATCGCATAAACTTTTCAAATGTGTGAAATATTCACTTACAATTTTATCTCCATGTCTCAGCTTGTAAATCTCTTCTTGCAAGTCTGAGATTCTGAAAATATACGCCTGTGAAAAGCGTTCTTTCAAGTCTTTCCAGGCATCTTCTGCCCGATCTATCCAAAGGATCGATTGCAGGATGGAGGGGGAAATTGAATGATGTATCCATGACAATACAGTGGTGTTGCACCGTTGCCATGCTGTATATGAAAGATCTATGGTTGGAGGTGGTGGTAAACTTCCATCAATGAATCCGGTTTTGTTTTTAAACAGCAATGCCATAGAAATGGCGCAAGACCAGGTATGATAATTTCTTCCATCAAGCACCGAACGCTTGGATGGAGATAATATGGATGAGATGGATTTGAGATGATCGAATGCTAAGCTCTGATTCGCCATTATTGTGATTCAAAAGAAAGAACGAAGAATCAGAGCTTCTTGAGAAGCTCTGATACCATCTTAAGAAACGAAAAACTCTAATATTTCATATATTGAACAATGAGAATTACATTACATCATCTACCACTATTACACTTTATATATGAAAAGAAGACTCATAAGAGAATAACTAATGCAACTGAAATTAACTAAATCCCGAGAATAGTGGAACTGGTAAAACTAACTCCACGTCAGCTATTGAACTACTGCATCAGTATAAATGGCTTCATTTATCACGTCATCTATTGAACTATTGCATCAGTATGAATAGCTTCATTTATCTTCGTATCCTTCAATAGTTCAAATTTGACAAATACATGAATATAAAAGCAAAACCACACCCATGCAGTATTTGAATAATACAATTTTTTTTATATAATAAGATAAAGAGCTATATATGTATTAGATTAATATATATATATATATATATATATATATATATATATATTAAGGAAAAAATATTTATCATTTTAAATGATATAACTTTATGTCATTATAAAAAAATGACATTATTTTGGTATATAATTAGTAATTTTTTACATTCTCTCATCTACTTTCACTTTCTTCTTAATTTTATGGAGGAGAGAGGATGTAAAAAATTACTAATTATGTACCAAAATAAAATCATTTCATCTAAAATCATTTCCTTTAAAATGATAAAAGTTTTTCGTATATATTAGTCAACAAAAAGAAAATTATGTATTTACCATTTTTATTCAAACTTATATTTAGAAACATAAATCCATGAATCCAAAGAAAAACAAAAAGTGTACGGCAAACCCCTCGTCGTCATGTCAGCAGGACATGAATATCACATTTATTGTCAACGAAAATCATATAATATTAATTATTCAAAGTTCACCGGACCCATGGCCAACAATGCTAAGCTGGCAAAGGCCAAGTTTCTATGCGGTGGAGGTGAAGTTGAAGTTTCCACACGTAGTTCGGCTTCCAAAGAGCAAAGAGCTGAACCCCAATCTAGATTTCGCCAAATCGAATTGCACAAGATTGTCCTCCAGCTGATACCCACCAATCACTATTGAGGTTCTTGGTTTCTCACCACCTTTCACAAACCCAAGACACAGCGTTTTATCGTTCACCTCCACCATCGAGTTCGCTCCAAAAATCCTCCAAATTACGTTCTTGTTCTGCAGAACAAGCTCAATGGCTGGCACCGCCGCGCCAAGCCGAGTTACTCCGACACTCTCACTGCTGAAGCACACTTCGAAAGGCGCCACGGGACCCACCCTTGTGATGTTTCTAGAAGCAGAGGCATTGATAAAAGCCTCCGTCACTGCTTTGAAGATTGAGGCCTCCAAAACCGTGTAAGGGTTCACTGTACTAATCTTGGTTCCACCAACGCCGTTACTGTCTATGGATAACAAACTCGTGTTAATTGGAACCGTCTTTTCATCGATCATGATGGATTTCACACCAATGAAATACTCAGCTGAAGGCTCTCCCTGATTGAAAGCAGAGGATGTGCTTACTGGGTTGATGAAGAGTGGTGTGAAGGTGAGTAACTGGGAAGCGTTAACGTTAGGAAGGAAAAAGTAAGGGCTGTCTCCGAAGAAAACGACGCCGTTTGAAGTGGTGGAAGATGAGAGACAAATAGCGAATTTTCTTTGGAAGCTAAAAGCAGAAGCAAACTGAGATGGAAAAGCGATTCTCGTTCTGCCGAGGCCAGCCATGCCTGAGACTCCATTAGCAAGCCCTTTTAATAACGAAGTTGGTGCGCACGAAAATAGGAAGCGTGAAACGGTGACGTTTCGTCCCGGGTTGAAGCCGTTGGTGGATTGGACGGACACGACGTCTTCTGCGAGTTCGCCGCCGGTGGCGGTGTGTGTGACGGTGTTGTCCGGCGTGAGACCGCAGGTGTTGTTGTTGCAGCCCGGCCTGGGTGCTGAGAAGCAATCGCCGCAGCCGTTAGCTCCGGCGAGTGAGCACTGGGCGGAGCGGCACCTTGCGGGGCGGTATGTGGAGGAGGTGTAGTTGTGTTCACAATCGACCCAGAGAAACCGGCCACCGAGATCTACGACGAGTTTCACTGGGACAAGTGGGGTTCTTTGGTTAATTTGAGTGACGTATTGAAGCGTGGTGGCATCTTTTGTAACTGGGACAACGAGGGCTTTGGGCCTGAAAGATTGTTGAGCAAAAGTTGGTGCAATAAAGAATAGGAGGAGGATAATGAAGAGATGTTGAAAGATGGAATTATCCATTGCTATGAGAAGTGTTGTGTATGGCTCGAAACTAGACAGAAAGAAACTTGAAGGGACTAAGGGAGAGTCACATATATTATATAGATGCAGGAGTGGTAAAAAGAGTGGTGCGGCACGTCGTCAAAGACAACTCATATGTTAACATCGTCAAATAAGACTGCAATGACGTGAGCTAAATTTCTTGTTCAGCCATGAATTGTTTTTTCACTAAATTTGGAATTCTTGCACAATATGTAAAATCCACCTGGATATAAAGGTCGCGGTTTCGGCATTGTATCTAATTAGATTTATCTAGAAAAGAGTAGCGTACTCCAGTTTTGATTTCTAATATTGACTTTGAGACATATCTGAGTCTTAATCTTATCCTTTCGTAAATCATAATATATTAGTTAACGTGTTCAATAATATTGTTTACGTATAATTTTTCTCTGCATTATTCGGACTCTCACGTAGATATTGATTGCGGTTTTGTACAAAACAGAACTCCACGTATTGCAAATGGACTAGTTCTCTTACCAAAGATATCGCAAGAAAGTTTATACAGGCGTTTTTTTTTTTTTTAAGAAGGTTGAGGTAAATATTATTCATTTGATAAAAAAGGAAACCAAACATCCCTTTATGTATTAATTAATTAAAAAAAGGATTTGATGTTTATCCTTTTAAAGGATATAGAATTATATTATTTTAAAAGAGAGAAAGATATGAGCAATGAAAATTATAAGAGAAAAAATACTTTTTTTTTAATTTAAATTTTAAATAAAAAATATTAATTTATGTATTTCTTTATCTTAAAATGATATAATTCTATGTCCTTCAAAATGAGAAATATTTTTTTCTGGAAAAAATAAAATCAAACCACACCAAAATTCTAAGCAGTGGTGGATTTGGCTAAAGATTTTGGAGGAGTACTACTGAAGATGTTGATACATGACAACTCATTTTTGAGTTACTAGTTATATTGAATGGATTTGAAACATTAATTGAAAACTTATTAAGGATACGTTACATAAAAATAATATGTAAACTACAAAGATTGTCGGTCATGATAATCTTATTTTTTTCGGATAAGATTTTAAAATGAAAGGAAGTAGTTTTTTTTTTTTTTTAATGTCATCACGCGAGATATATTTAAATTTTCTAATCAATATATGGTTATCAATTATGTACTTTATTTCGACAGTATACTTTTCGTTTTGGATTATCCAAATTATAATAGGGGTTTGATTTTCTCATGTTGAAATGAGAATTCAATTCTTATGTTGTAAAGATAAAAAGCACGTGAGACCCATGTGTTAGAAAAAATTATATATAGGACCCATGTCAGCACGAAAATCAAAGAGTGTGTAGGAAAATTTGAATTCTCATGTTGAATAAGAATTATAAAACCCATTATAATATATGCTTCAAGCCACAGCGTAAGTTAGTTATATAGATGACCTACGAATAAATTATTGAATACAATAATGCAGTGATATTTTAAAATAACAACGCAATCACAAGAATCGGATAATTAAGTACACGTCGCACTCACACCAAACACAACAAAGCTAAACTATGGCAGGGCAATGAACATTGCCGCAGCTGCTTCAAGGAGCATCAGGAGACGAGCCGGCGATCTTCCGAAGACAACCACAGCGGCATTTGAGAAGTCACCACCACCATAAGTCTCCCCGTAGGTGGCCATCACATTGTTAAAAACCCATTTTGCCTCAACACCGACAAGATCCGAGAAAAGAAGTCGATTTGGTCAACAATATTCGGCGGATATGATATAATTTAATAGAAATTATACCGGAGAGGCTTTACTTCTTATAAAATATAAAATATTGCTTTCTGACACGATGTTTTCCATACAAGAGTATTGATAGTTCCGTTGATAAAGGCTACCCTGGATCTTCATTGCCTTTGAATCTATGGGGTACACAGATTTTATATGTAATTTTACTTTTCTGGTTCCATAAATATGCAGCACAACTAGCAATTATGTATAATCTCACTTGAGTAATCCATTTTCCACTTAAGTTGACTTTCATCTCCAAGTTCTGAAATGTCACTTCCACTTCCATTCCGCACTTTCTTCTTGTTGAATGTCCTCTCCGCTCTGTTCTTTCCCAATCCAACACTGCAGACAGCTCTGGTAACACCCATTTCCAAAGACAAATCCACCAATCTCTTCACCCTCTCCGTCTTCCTAAAAACTCCTCTTCGCCCCACCAAACTGTACCTCGATCTCGGCTTCTTATTCCCCTGGACGGTCTGCGACGCCAACTATAACTCTTCCTCTTTCCGCGAAATCACCTGCGACCCCGCTTTCTGCGCCACACTCGGATTCGGAGGACTCTCCTGCAACAATTGCACCGACTTCAATCCTCCAAACCCTAATTGCGTACCCGCCAATTTGGTTTGCGGTTCTTTCCCTGAAAACCCAGTCACCATACGCGCTACTTCAGACGTCGTCCTCATCGACACGCTCGCATTACCAACCACTCCGGGCCCGGGCCCAGGCCCATTCGTTCTCCTCCCCAACTACACCTTCTCTTGCGCTCACTCCACACTACTCAAGGGTCTACCCAAAAATGTAATGGGCCTAGCCGCGTTGGGCCGGTCCAATCTCTCTTTCCAGGGTCAGATCAGCGCTGCTCTTTCCTCTCCGCGTTGCTTTGCGCTTTGCTTTCCCGCGTCTTCAAAAACTCCAGGTGTCGCTTTCTTCGGCTCCACTGGGCCCTACTATGTTTTTTCTTCTCCTTCTTCCAAAATTGACCTCTCTAAATCGCTTATTTACACTCCCCTCATTCTCAACCCCGTTGGCGTTGGAGACACCGTTATCACCTACGGCGGTAATCCCCCGTCTAATCAACACTTCATTGGTTTGACTTCTATTAAAATCAACGGCAATAATGTTCCCATCAATGCATCTTTGTTGACCATTAATCAGGACGATGGTTTCGGTGGGACTAAGATCAGCACCGCTACTCCTTACACTGTGTTGGAGTCTTCCATTCACAAAGCGTTCACGGAGTTATTCGTGAAGGAAGCTTCTTCCCCTGCTTTCAACCTCACCGTAACTGTCCCTGCGAAGCCGTTTAATGTGTGCTACCCTGCGGGAGACCTCACGGTAACGCGTGTGGGTCCCCTGGTGCCGACAGTTGATCTCGTGCTGCATGCGCACGATGTGTTTTGGAGAATCTCGGGAGGCAATTCGATGGTGAGGGTTAGGAATAAAAGGAAGGGCGTGGATTTGTGGTGTTTGGGTTTTGTGGACGGTGGGGTTAATAAGAAAACTCCAATCGTAATCGGAGGGAAGCAGCTGGAAGATAATCTTGTTCAGTTTGATCTTGAATCTAACAGATTGGGATTCACGTCTTCGCTCTTGTCTCGCTCGCTCTCGTGTGCTGATTTCAACGTCACTGATTTCGCAGATAACGGAAAATAGTTAGAATGAAGGAGAAAAACGAAATCAATAAGACAACGGGGTGAGGGCAGTGCAGTTCCTTCTAATAATAAATTTGTTCTTATTGTTTTGTTTGTGTTTTCCATTTTGATTGAATCGTTGGCGTGGATCTGGACGGTCACTTGAGAAAAAAACATCATATAGGATTGCTGGTATGAAATTTCATATAACTTGAGAAAAAGTATATGGTCAAAACTCAAAACACTTGTTCGTAGACTATCATGTTGAATTATCTTAAAATTACAGCTGGACTTAAAAATTTGAGACATAGCAAATTTTAAACGAGCTTAAACTAAACATTTAGTCTTATATTAATTTTGGTTTACAATAGTTACTTTTTTATTTTAATTTTTATAATTTCAGTTATTTAAATGTTAATTTATCAGGAGAAAATATATTTGTAAGGACTAATGTTTTAATAGCAGAAACTAAAATTTAAGAAATTAAAAATATAACGACAAATTTTTACAAAATTATATTTGTAAGGATCCATATCTATAGGTAAAAGGACTAATTTTATAATTTAACCTTATAACAACTTATAAATTTTGATGGAAAAATGATATTTATTCATAATTTTTTTTATACTTTTTACTCCATGTTCTTTGACAAAAGAGGTGTTGAAATATATATTTTTTACTTTGTTGATGAAAAAACAAAAAACATAAAAATGATATACAAATATCATTTTCCAAATCTAATTTATCAACTCTATATATGTTTTGCACATGCACTAAAAATGTTTGATTTCACAATATTAAATTTTCTTTTTGGCATGGCGACACAATCATATGATAAAAAGCAGATGCTGAGTGAAAACATAAAACGTCAACTTGGACAATTTATATTATTCTAAAGTAAAACCGTTTATTGGAAACTTTGATGATGTGTCGCATTCTCCTTGAATCTGAGGTTTGTGTTCACACTTAAAGAAATTTGAAATGTTTCCTGTTATAGTAATTTTTTAAATTATTTTTTAAGCTTAAAATTTTAAAACATCAATTGAAATCCGATTAAAAAACACAATTAAATTAAATTCCCACTATCTCTTTATTGAAAGCTGCGAAAGTTGGAAGCTGCAACAATTTATTGAACCTTATTGGGAGTTGAAAAGTTTTTTTAAAGTAGTGCCTTATTTGAAAGTTGAATTTTTTTTTAAAGTTGTGCCTTAAGGTACTTCTCAAATAATGCATTGAGTTTTTGTATAAATAGAGAATTGTTTCTTCTCTTCTTTTTTGTCTTGCCTGCATTTTTCTTTCTTTCTGTTCATGTCTGCGTTTTTTTTTTCTTTCTGTTCATGTGCGTAGGGATTGTTCTATTGGTATAATTTTCGGTTTCTTTATGAACAAACCGTATGAATTCGTTTTCATAAATTTTTTACTGACACTGATTTATTCATTTTTTAGGGTGGAAGGATTCATGATACTGTGAGTGGTTATTCACATATTCAGCGTCTTCCACCTTCAATTGTTTCGATCCACGACTACCAAAATAGATCTTTCTTCACAGTGCTAATTCATTCTTCTTCCACGGAACAGTGAGGGGCTTTATGCTTCCAAAGTCACCTCTTCCAATGACACTCAATCTTTCGAAGAAAAGTCCCTCAATGGTAAATCCTTCATCACGTATTCATTCTTATCTCTTTGTTCTTCTTGTTCCATCCACTGAGAAATCTTCGCCACCAACCACAGTATTCCTTCCTATCCACAAAATAGGAATGTTTGATCCATTTCTTTCTCGAGAAACAGATTGAGTTTCGTCCCTTTCTCTTGGAAGTGAGTCGGGGAAATTTAATATATGATTTTTCTCTTCATCAAAGAAAGAGATGCATATTGTAGAAGACAACACAACCGCACAATAAAAAGAAGACAAGGAACAATGCAGAACTGAGCAACTCAACAAAGAGACGAGCATTGCACAAGACTGAAGAAGATATGGGTTACCTTCTTTTGATTTTTAAATTTTGCAGCTTCCCTTTTTTTCTTTTATTTGAATATGTATCATACAATTGTGGTTTCATAATAGCGAAAAAGATATATTATTATATATTATTTCCTTTTCTTATTATTTATTTTATTTTATTTTTTCTCCACCGAACATAATTACTAATATCCTTTGTATATCCAAAAAAAAATAATAAATTTTCTTTATTTTATGTATGACTTTCATAATAATGGGTTTAAAAGTTGTTACCATTCATATTCCATGTGATAACTTGAAAAGTCTCTATTATTGAATGCCTTTGAATTTTAAAAAAAATGGTTGATGGACGCATTGGAAAATGAAAAGCCTCGTGTGTGTGTGAATTATAATAACATTAATTGCTAAACCTATTATAAGATAGTTGTTTCACTTGAAGTAAATGGTCATTATGAATAAGTGGAGCTTCTTTGGGATTTTAACATTTTGTAAATGCAAGTAATACACATCAGATGTGGTTTACTTTTCCAACGTTATTCATTAATTTTTTTGAATTCCAATGGATGCAAAACGACACTCTTCAATTTTAACAAAAACAAAGTCCAACATACATCCATATGACAATAGTCTTGAAACTGGAAACACTTAGAATAATTACGGAAAAGATTCATAAGATTAAACGGTTTAAAGATCTGACAATGGAAATCTATGATTGAAGCAATCAAGCAAATATAATCTATTATACTCAACATAGAACAGTAAAAATGGAATATAAGAAAACAATAGCCAATAAATATATAAATTATGAAGAAAAAAAATTCCCTCTCATTCCCTTTTTATAGTATAAGGAAAAATAATAATAAATAAAACTCTACTTTATATCTACATTCAGTCATCTACATAAAGTAAATTAAAATCTTAACTTAAAATAATGATACAAAACGGAAAACAAATTCGCACAAGAAACTTTTTAAGAAATACTTAAGATAAATATTTTAAATGTATATATATATATATAGTATAAATTAAAAGAGAAAAACAATATTTTTTAAAAGTATGTATAATTAATTATATTATCATGTTGAATTTTAAATTTTAAAATTAAATATATTAGAAAGAAATCAAACTTTTATTCTTTTGATGTAAGAGTGTAATTAACACAATTTCCTATGTCGTGAATGATTACCTAGAAACTATTACTTGGAGAATGTGCCTAGACTTCTATGCTTGTTTCCCTTTATTTTTTGCATAGAAAATTGTTAAGCCTATTAATTTATTATTATGTCTATTGGGAGGGAAAATATTTAATACTTAAAATTTAATCTTTCTAAATTTGAATTTTGAACTTGAGATGAGAAAAGATTCAGCATTTAATATTGCCTACTACTTTTTGCATGGAAAATTATTAAGCATATTAATGATAGTTATTACTATATCTATTGGGCTTAATTATTATACATATTAGAATTAATTATAAAACTGGAAAAAGGATATGTATAAAACAAATTTAATTTTAATAAAAAATTATGAATTAAACGAAAAATATTTAAAATTGTAAAAATATAATTTAAAATAAAGTAAATTAAATTCTTAGCTTAAAATAATGATACAAAAAGGAAAATAAATTCGTACAAGAAACTTTTTAATAAATACTTAATATAAATATTTTAAATGTATATATATATATATATATATAATATAAATTAAAAGAGAAAAAATTATTTTTAAAAAGTATGTATAATTAATTCTATTATCATGTTGAATTTTAAATTTTAAAATTAAATATATTAGAAAGAAATCAAACTTTCATTCTTTTGATGTAAGAGTGTAATTAACACAATTTTCTATGTCGTGAATGATTACCTAGAAGCTATTTTTGAAGAATGTGCCTAGACTTGTATGCATGTTTCCCTTTATTTTTCGCATAGAAAATTGCAAAGCCTATTAATTCATTATTATGTCTACAGGGAGGGAAAATATTTAATACTTAAAATTTAAACTTTCTAAATTTGAATTTTGAACTTGAGAGGTGGGAAAAGATTCAGCATTTAATATTGCACACTACTTTCTGCATGAGAAATTATTAAGCATAATGCTTTAATCCTGGACCCGCCCCGAATCGGATTAGTTGTGAAACAATGAACCAATTGGAATATTTCCAAAATAAAATAAAATTATTAAGCATATTAATGATAGTTATTATTATGTCTATTGGGCTTAATTATTATACCTATTAGAATTAATTATAAAACAGGAAAAAAGATATGTATAAAATAAATTTAATTTTAATAAAAAAAATTATTAATTTAACGGAAAAAATATTTAAAATTATAAAAATATAATTTAAAATAAAGTAAATTAAAATTTTAACTTAAAATAATGATACAAAAATGAAAAAAAATTCGTACAAGAAATTTTTAAAAAAATACTTAAGATAAATATTTTAAATGTATATATATAAATGTATGTATATAATATAAATTAAAAGAGAAAAAAATTATTTTTTAAAAGTATGTATAATTAATTCTATTATCATGTTGAATTTTAAATTTTTAAATTAAATATATTAGAAAGAAATTAAACTTTCATTCTTTTGATGTAAGAGTGTAATTAACAAAATTTTCTATGTGGTAAATGATTACGTAAAAGCTATTACTTGAAGAATGTGCATAGACTTCTATGCATGTTTTCTACTACTTTATACTTTCTAGATAGAAAATTATTAAGCCTATTAATAATATTTATTATTATATCTATTGGGTGAGAAAAAATTTAAAATTTATAAAATTTCAAATACAAACGACACAAATCCTTGCAAAAAATAATTATTTATTATTATTTTTTAAATCTGATTTAATAAA